TGAATTTTGTTCCTCCAGGTTTGGCAACCCAACTGCCATGTCATTTTTGTACATGAACTTCAATCCCTTGTCATGAAAATGCCCCATTCTTTTATGCCAAAGTTCAGATTCATTAATCTTGCAACTGAATGCCATTTGCTCCTCTTCTAATGGATTTAATAAGAAGCTCTTCTTATTCATCATAATTCTGAACAACTCTTCACCGCTTGAGTCTAGAATAAGACATTTTCCTTCTTCAAAGAACACCTTGAATCCCTTCTCTACTAGCTGCCCCACACTTAATAAATGTTGATCAATCTGAGGCACATACAACACCTCTGAAATCAGCTTTGTTCTGGCACATCTCTCCACGGCTATTGTGTCTTTTCCTTTCACCTCTAAGTACTCTCCATTTCCAATTCTCACCTTCGACTTCAATGACCTGTCAAGCTGTTTGAACAACTTCTCATCATGATTCATATGGTTTGTACAACCACTGTCAACTAGCCAACTTTCAGTTGAAGTGCTTCCTGGAAAGCACGATACCATAAACAATTCTTCTTCCTTTTCTCCTTGCTCTTTTGCAGCGTGTTCTTCTCCTTGGTGTTCCTTTCTTTCTTTACAAAATATTTTTATATGCCCCATCACATTGCATCTCATACACTGCACATCAGGCCTTCTCCAGCATCTGTAATGAGGGTGATTTTGCTTGCCATAATGCTTACAAGGAGATTGCTTGTTATTGCTCTTTACAGACTTGTCCTTCGAAGCAACTTCTAAAATATTGCTTCCAACCTTCTTTCCTTTCCATCTCTTGTCTCTTCCATTTTCATTTTGTTGTACTTTAGCCTTCAATGCCCCTTCCACATGAGTCTCCTTTGATCTTGTGCTTGAAAAGCACTAATTAACTCCATTACTTTGAGTTCAGACAGGTCCTTCGTGTTTTCTAAAGAGGTAATTGTAGCTTCGTATCTTTCAGGCACATAAACAAGTATCTTTTGGACTATTCTGTTAGACGAAAGATCAGTCCCTAATCCTCTCACCTTGTTGCCAATGCCTAACAACTTATCAGAGTACTCCTTTATTGACTCAGAATCATGGTTCCCCCTCGGAGATCATTGTCGCGGATCGGCCTTTACCGTTCCAAATACGTTGCGGCGTATTGGCATGACGTATCGGTCAAATATCGGTTAATATAATTTTTTATATATAACTTTTTATTTAAAAAATGATAATAAATTATTAAAATATATTAAATCATAAATATAATTAATTTTAAAATATGTAGCATGATATTAAAAAATATATTATAATTTAAAAAATATTTTAAATAATAAAAATTAAATACAATTCAAAGCAATTGAATCTATATATTAAATAAACAAATTAATTAAAATAACCTAATACTAAATTCAATCAAAAATTAAGTAAATTAATTAATTTTATACTTATATTACAAAAATTAAACTAATTGAACTTAAATAATTATTTGGGTATTTCTTCAAATCAATTCTTCTTCTTCTCCAACCCTACACCAATCTTCTTCCCCAACCCTCTCCCTCTTCTTCCCTCCGACCCACACACGCAGGCACTACTCAAAGTCCCAGATATACATGAAATTGAAGGAGAAATAGCGAAAAACAAACCTCAGAATGATAGAAACAAAAATTTCAGCGATTTCAGAAGATTTTAGAAAAACTCGGATATTTTCTTCTTACCGGTTCCGGTCCTGCCCGTTCCGGTTTCGGATCGGCCGAGTCGGACAGAAGATTTTAGAAAAACTCGGATATTTTCTTCTTACCGGAACGGTCCTGCCCGTTCCGGTTCCGGATCGACTCGGCCGATCCGGCGAAACCATGCTCAGAATCCTTCATTTGGATTCTCTCAAATTCCCTTAGGATGTGTTCGTTTGAAGGATTTTGACAAAATCCTACTATTCATTTAATTTTTTTCCTCCTCTCATCACCTTGGTACTCGGCCTTAAAAAAATCTCATATTTCCTTTGCTGATTTTAATGCATTATTCTGTTGAATATAACGGGTGAAACAGCCGAATATAAGCAAGCTAGAGCCTTTGCTTTTCTGGTGACTCTCTCCTTGTGGATTTTCATTTGATTTATTATTGTATTATCCGGAAGTGGAGCAACTTCATAGTCTTGTTCCACTGCCTCCCAATAATCGCAGCCTTCCATGTAAGCTTGCATTCTAACAGCCCACGCTTGGAAGTTTTCTCCATCAAACACAGGTGGAGCAAGTGCTGAAAAGACCACTCTCACCTGATTCAATCTTTTCAATAATCCTCTCGCAAATCTCTGGAGAAATCTTTAGATCCCTCAAGAATGTATGCTCTGATATCAATGTTGTTAGGAAATAGAGATGGAATGTAGGATGCTCAAATCTCATTAAACTGCTCTGAAAAATACGTCTAATACATGATCCAAACTTTTAACATTATTTAAGAAATCTAAATTAAATTAAATGAGCAACACATTTGATTTGCTCACAAACTGTAATAGATCTAAAAGAATTCAGGCAGTTGTTTCTGCACCCATGAAAAATGAAAATTCAGAAAAACCACCTGTATTAAGATGATTGCTTAGGCTATGCAATTATATTATAAGTGATTCCTTAAAATGTTTTTAAAATACAATATACAATATTTAGTCATAATTATCACTTTTGTTGTTTATTTATCCTAATAAAATATATTATACATATTTGAAAACGTTTCATTTATGTCCTTGGCCGCATGATGTCCACCACAGTTGTCCTAAGCCTGGTCGAATGATAGAAATGACAACTTTTACGAACATATTTAAAAAAAAAAGAAAAAAAAAAAAAGACACACTTTAAATGTAAAGATGCTGATGTTTTTGCCCCACCTCATATTGCAGAACCTCTAAACCTTCTCTATGCTCATAGTGTAAATTTTACATCCACAGAGAAGTAGGCAAGTACAACATAAAGAAAATTTTTGGAAGATAATATACCTTATATTCTTACAGGATGACAGAAAACATAACAAATTAAATTGTCTGGAAGAAGTATTGGATCTAGCCAAAATTCTTTTAAACTCTTAGTACAACCTTATCTCTTCGTAGCTGACACCTTGGTTGGGAAGACGAGGATAATGACGAACGACAAACAGGTCATCTGCTCTAGTTGATGTCTAGAACACAGACAAGGATGGATTAAAGATGGAGGTTGTTGGACACCTCCTCTTTCAGATCGAGGCTCGGGAGCATAATATAAGTTTAACTACTTAGATTGACTTTCATAGTTCGGTAGATGGTCCCGAGTTGGAAACAGGAGAGAGCTTTACTCTTTTCTGATGCTTGAATGAATTCCATCATCTAATTAGTTAGCCTGCTAAGACTGAAGAACAAGTGACTTTATGGTCCTTGATCATCATACTGCACCAACTAACAATATTTAACTATTATATATTGTATGAAAATTATAAATATTTAACTTTATAATATAATAATTTTGCGGATATATTTACATCTTATTATTATTTTATTCTTGTCTTCTCTTTTAAGTAAGAAAAAGAATAATTGAATATAATAATTCTAGTTAACAAACTCGAGATCAAATAATATTTGAAGAAAAAATAATTAATTGAAATTAAAAATATACATATAGTCACAGTTTGAATAAATCAATTTATGACTAATGGTAGTTGTTGTTAATAAATACTCCCACCAACTTAACATTAAAAATATCAAATATATATTTGTACCTTATAAGATTCTAAAAAATTATTTCTGTCTTTTCAATTTAATAATTACTTCCTCCGTCGTACGGTGTCTGTTATAATATAGACACTGTATTTAAAGAGAAGTGTAATTAGTAAATAATTAAAAATGCATTAGTGAAAATAATCATCCTATAATATAAATAATTATAAATTAAGATTAAGATAACTAAGTTTAATTAAAATTTAAAAAAAAAATTAAAAAATTTAAAATGAGATTAAAGTGTGTAATCATTTTCAAAAAAAAAAAAGTGACATGGTATGTGGAACGGACAGAAACGGCAACGTGATCATGGTATGTGAGATGGAGGGAGTAATATTTAAAGATGAACACGTCGTGCTTGCAAAAACAATGTAACCCTAGTTAGTGGACGGAGATAGTATAATGCTTACAACTTATTCTATTAATTTTTTATATACATAGGGTTTGTTTGTTTAGTATTTTTTTTGAATTTTTCATATGAGATAATAGAAAATTGTGTTCAAAATTAAAAAATAATATTTATATTAATATTGACTTTTGTAAGAAGATAATATATATATATATTTGAATTGGAAAAAAAGTTGTGAGCAAACAAACTCAGTCTTTTACTTGTGCATGCTAGTGACTTGATGAATAAAATTATGCATGTAGTTCTTTTTTAAAATAATTTGGAATTTATGAGTGACAAACATCATCGATGATTGGAGTTGGGAAGTAGTATTTATCCAAAAACAAGTCTTCCCCGCGTTGTTCATTCTTCTTCATCTTCAACTCCATTATTGTGCTGTGTTTGCTGCTTCTTCCCTCCTGTTGCTTTTAGATCTATACTTCGGACTAAGCTTCTATCTCAGGTGATTCTCAGGACCAATTATGATTCATCTATTTTACTATTTCGCTGAAACAGCAATCGAGGTTTGATCTATCTTGTTCTATTATTTTCTAAATTCTTTACTGTTTAAATTTTATTAAAGTTTTGTTGAAAACATCAATAGATTAGATTCCATTAGGTTTTTCCTTTTTTTTTCAGAAAATTACTGAAAGACATGTAGTAGCTTGGTGTTGTTTGTGTTTAGCATACTCATCAATTGAACTGCTAACATAACAAATGAAAAACCAGGATTACATGTATTCGTCTCTCCATATCCTGTTTCTTATTTTAAATTGCATAACACACACATACACACTCACAAACACATATAGTTCTAAAGCATATACAACAACTACTTATCAAGATTTCAGTTGAATTAACATGTGTGTTTCTATGAAGGTATTATAGTCGGTTATGTTGAATTCAGAGAGCAAAATGCTTTGGAAAATTGCAAGACCTTTCCTCTCCAGGCTCGGGGAAAAGTTGGCGGATTATGCTCAGGGCACTATGACCACAATGATAGACTACAGTATAGTATTGGAATCTCTACAAAGAAACTTGAAATCGTTGAGTGATAAAGCATTTGATGTTGAGAAGGAGGTCAAGAATGGTGAGCAATCGGGTATGAAGAAAAGGAAGCGTGAAGTCGAGAGCTGGTTGGCAGAGGTGCGGAAACTTGAAATGGAATTCGCTGAATTCGGGGATGCTATGGATTCTGATGGATTTACTAGTCGCTTCTTCGGGGGAGATAGAGCCAAGAACTTGAGTGTGAGAGTAGAGGGATTGGTTGAGCAGAGTCGACATTTTGGTGAACTGCTTCATGCTTGTGAACCCGAGCAAGTTCCACTCTTGACAAAGAAGTTGGTGGGTAAAACGTTTGAGGAGAACTTTGAAAGGATTTTGAAGTTGTTGGTGAACGATGGAGTGTCAAGTGTTGGGATTCATGGCATGGGTGGTGTGGGTAAGACAACGCTGGCGAAGCACATCCACAATCGGTTTGTTGAAGGAGCTCAACATGTTGTCATTTGGATAACTGTATCTCATACATTTAACATAAAGAATTTGCAGGATGAAGTTGCCAAGGCAGTGCATCTAGATATTTCAGACGAGAAGAATGAAGACAAAAGAGCTGCGAGACTAAACCGAGTACTATCAAGAAAAGGGAAAGTTCTGCTAATATTTGATGATGTTTGGGAAAAGTTCAACCTCGAAAAGATTGGAGACCCACTTTCCTTGGAGGAGTGTAGATTAATCATAACATCCCGTTTATCGGATGTGTGTCATCAAATTGGTTGTCAAGAAGTTATTCCAATGGTAACACTCAATAAGAGTGAAGCTTTGAGTTTATTTACAGAAACTCTTGGCGCAGGGATGACACTAACTTCCCAAGTACAAGAAATTGCAAAGCTTATGGCAGGACAGTGTGGTGGATTGCCATTGGGCATAATCACAGCAGCCGGAAGTATGAAGGGTAAGACGGACATTCGTGAGTGGAGAATTGCACTGAAGGACCTAAAAGAATCAATTTTGAGAGAAAATGGCACTGATGATGAAGTTTTCAAAATACTCAAATATAGTTTCGATAGGTTGGGTCAGGGAGAAAAGAAATGGAATGGATTTACAGTTCTACAGCATTGTTTCTTGAATTGTTGTTTGTATCCTGAAGATTCCCAAATAAGTAAAAGAAAATTGATAGAACTACTCATTTCAGAGGAGTTGTTGGACAAAAGGAGTAGTAGAAGAGATCGGGTGGATTGGGGTCATGTCATGTTGAACAAATTAGTGAATGTGTGTTTGTTAGAGAGCGACGGAACGTGGTGGGTGAAGATGCATGATTTAGTAAGAGCCATGGCATTAAAGATCACAAAGAATAAATATTTGAGCATCGATAGGCAAAGTTTCATGGATGGAGGAGGAGAATGGAGTAGAGATCTGAAGAAGGTTTCTTTGATGGGCAATGGCATAAAACATATACCTGTAGAATTGTCCCCAAAATGTCCCAAGCTCTCAACATTGCTCTTCCAGAACATTGATTTGTTAAAGCTTATACCGGGTTCATTTTTCTCGGAGATGCATGGTTTACATGTTCTTAATTTGACTTATACCGACATTGAAGAGTTACCAGATTCTTTGTCTAATTTAGGGAGCCTCAAAGCCCTTCTCCTAAGGTATTGCAGATACCTTAAATGTGTGCCGAGCTTGGGAAATCTCAAGGACCTAAGAGAGTTGGACATTTCATTTACTTCTGTCAAGGAATTGCCTTTTGGAATGCAAGAACTAGTGAATCTCGAATGCTTGAAGATTGATTCTCGAAAGTTGGAGAAAGTACCAAGCAATTTGTTGGTGAATTTCAAAAAACTTCAATGCCTCCATCTTCCATCTCATATCGAAGCACCAATGACAGAAGTTGAGAAATTAGAACAACTTGAGGAGTTCCATGGGCGTGTGAAAGATGGGGACGAATTTGGTCGATTAATGGTATGTCTACAAAAATTAAAAGAGTACAATCGATCTTATAATGTTTTCGTGGGAGATATTCTGGGGCAGCGGCGAATAACACCACCTGCAGGTGATAATGAAGTGGTTGTGAATGGGCTGAGGGTGAATGAAGAAGGGAGAAGAGATGTTATGGTCTGGCCACTTGACATGGAAGGCTTTGGACTTATAAAGTGTGAGGGTTTAGGAAGCTGCATGATGGATGGTATTCAAGGATTAAACATCAGTAATATGAAATCCTGCAAAAGGTTGAGGCTATATGAATGCAAAGGGGTAGAGTGCATATTGAAATCGGAGGAGGACCAAGTAGAAGAATTTCCATTACAAAATTTGGAATCGATATTGTTAAAGAAGTTGCCTGATTTGATGTGCGTGGTGATGTTTCAAAGTTCATCTCCACCTCTACTGTTTTCGTCTCTTAGGGAGCTGCGTATTACTGAATGCAACAAGATGAAGAAGCTGGGGTTGCCACTATCACTATCACTGTCACTCTTGGGGGGCTTACAAAACCTTGAATTGCTGGATGTCCAAAGGTGTGAACAAGTAGAAGAGATATTTGAAGTAGAAAATAGAAATACATATAATAGAGGAGATGAAGAACAAGGAAATCAAGCACCATCATCATCTCAAAGATTCCATCTCCCCAAATTGAAGTTTATGAACCTTATTCAACTCCCAAAATTGAAGAGCATCTGCGACTTGACACTGATATGCCGTTCCCTTAAAATTATTCACATCGAAGGATGCATGCAAGTGAAGAAACTGCCATTGCTATTTGGTGATTATAATTATGATTCCCCTCTTCTACCAGACTATCATCAGCGATTAAGTATCTACATTCCAAAATCAGAGAAGGAATGGTGGGAATCACTGGAGTTGGAGCATCCCTCCCTCCATCCCCTCCTCAAACCCTTACTTCGTCTTCATTGATTTCTGTTGTTGTAAGACTCGACTCTTACGTACATATAATTATTATTTACATTCATTACTGTTGATAATTCAATAATATTATTATTCAGAGCTCTATGGTGAATCGTTTATTAATATATTTGCCAAATATAGATACACATATAGAAAGAGAGAGAGAAAGAGAGAGAGAAGAGAGATGAGAGAGAGATTCTAATGAATTCGAGAGTTCTTTAACCCTTAGTACTATCATTATTCTACCTTAAATTTAAGAAATATGATTATCTTGAAGTTGTCATACCCCAGGTAAGATTCAACTAAGACTAAGAGATTCAAGATCTTATCTTCACCAAGCCAAATAAAATGTCTGTTGACAGTGTTCTTTCATGCATGGGCCTCAAATCATCAACGATCACCACATTGAAATACATATAGTAATATTCAGTACAGCTAGCTCATGGAATTATCACCACAGATGTCTTAAATGTGAAATCCACCTGTAACTTGCAAGGTCAGGCTCCCCAAGGAATTATCGCATTAACAGGAATTGGATTATTCAATCATGGGAGAAGGTGGGAATGAGGAAAAGGTTTTCAAGATACTCAAGTATAATTTCAATCGGTTGGATCAAGGAGAAGAGAGGCATAATGGATTTACAATGAACCAACATTGTTTCTTGAATTGATGCTTGTATCCCGAAAATTCAGAAATCAAAAGAAAAGAATTGATTGAACTTTCTCATTTCGGAAGAGCTGTTGGACAAAGGAGGAGTAAAAGAAAAAGAGTAGATCAGTTAGTGAATGTGTGCTTGTTAGAGAGTGATGCAACGCGGTGGGTGAGGATGCATGATTTAGTAAGAGCCATGGCATTAAAGATCACAAAGAACAAATATTTGAGAATGGATAGGCACAGTTTCATGGTTTAAAGAGAAGAATGGAGTGAAGATCTCGAGAAGGTTTCTTTGAGGCACAATGAGATAAAACATATACCTGCAGAATGGTCTCCAAAATGTCCCAAGCTGAGAACATTGCTCTTGCAGGAGAATAATTTGTTAGAGCTTATACCAGGTTCGTTTTTCTTGGAGATGTGTGGTTTGCATGTTCTTAATCTGAGTTCTAAAACTACAGATCTAGTTACCAGATTCTTTGTCTAATTTGGGGAGCATGAAATCCCTTCACCTGAGGCGTTGCAAATATCTTAAATGTGTGCCAGAGTTGAGAAATCTCAAGGACCTAATAGAGTTGGACACTTCATGGACTTCCATCAAGAAATTTCCTTTGGGAATGCAACAACTAGTCAATCTCGAATCCTTGAAGATTGGTGCCACAAACGTAGAGAAATTACGAAGCAATTTGTTGGTGAATTTTAAAAAACTTCAATGCCTCCATCTTCCATTTCATATTGAAGCACCAATGACAGAAGTTGAGAATTAAAATAGCTCGATGAGTTCTGTGGGCGTCCGAAAGATTTGTACGATTTTGGTCGATTAATGGTTCTACCAAAATTCAAGGAGTGTAATCGATCTTACGGTTTTGTAGTGGGAGAATTTCTGGTCCAACTGTTGCATGATGGATGGTTTTCAAGGATTAAATACTAGTAATATGAAATCTCGCAAAAGATTTGAGGATATATGAATGCAAAGGGGCAGAGTGCATATTGAAATCGGAGGAGTGGAGTTTCCGATGGTGCAATGGCTCGCGACAGGATTGTTACTCTGTCATACAGTAAGTAAGATGTTGCCCAATCAAAAGACGAGTCAAGAATGGAAGATGACTGCAAGGATGAGGGTTAAGATTGTCTCGAGAATCTTGGCTGAAATTCACAAGAAAATAAGCCCGAATTGAAGGACTTTCGTGAACACATCCTTGAAACATCTTCCGTTAATAGCAATCTTATCAAGGAAATAGAGGAGGTCATGAAAAATACGCAGAAATGTCATACTTTCTGCAGATATATGGAACTAATTGATGAGTTGTATAAATGATGTGGACGTCCAAACGTCTCATGAACCACTTAGACCAATTACCCGAAGCCGAGCTTATAAACTCCAAGATCAGTTTTTTGACTTAATTCGTGAGCTCAAGAAGAATAATTTACATAAGGATGAAGCTTGGAGAACAATCGGCCCGAGTCTAATGGTTAGACAAGCTAAAATAATTGAAGACCTGTGATAATGTTATTGCTTACATCATAATCATAGACATCATTGCGATGATGTCATTTCTTCCATCATAAATATTAACACCATTGCTTCATTTTTTGAGAATGTACGGACAATTATTATAATTTTGGAAATATATTCTTTTGGAAATGTATTGTCATTATTGAGATATTGTTAATATGCTTTTGGAAATATGCAACAATTATGTGTATTGAAATATATTCTCTATGAGAATGTATTGTCAATTTAGTTGTAGTAACTGTTTTGTCCCTCCTCTTGGCCTCTATATAAAGGCCCTTGTATCAAATTTCATATCAATTTGGCAATAATATATTTATCTTCTTTCGAAAATTTGTGTTTTTTACTGTATTTACTTTCAAAGTGCGAGTGAGTGATTCCTTACACAGCTGATTTCAAATCGGATCTTTAGAATTATCTATTGGTTCATGACTTCTAAATTTTTGCAGAGCAATTAAGCCTATCGGGTTAGTCCTTTTTCTTAGTTAAGATTTTGGGTCCAAGATTAAATTCTTGAGGCTCTTAATCAACTAGGTTGTGTATAAAAATTCTGCCTTATCTCATCTATTTTTTTTTTTTTTTGAATTTCTTACATTGATTAAGGTTATTCTTCTTTAACATGAGAAAAATATATAAACTCTCATGGGTTACATCAGTTTGGTATCATAGCTAGTTAGCTCGAGTTCCTACACTTAGTGTTATTCTCTTTTCTTCGAAAAAAAAAATCTGCAAAAAAAAAAAAAAAAAAAAAAAAATTTGTAGAAAAACAAAACAAAAAAATAAATACAAAAAGCTTGTGCTAATAAAAAACAACATACTTGTTCGCTTGTTCTATTATAATTTCCGCATTTTCCATCATAAGTGTTTTTCTTTTTTCTTATTCTCAGTTTCATTCTAGTTCTTCGTAGTTGTTTTCACTCTTTTGAAATTTTTTTGTCACATCTTTGGAGATATTCCACCGATCTAATTTATGCTTTGTGCAAGATGGAGGAGTACAATACGTGAGGAGTGAGACACGAGAGTCATGAGAGCTTATTTTCTAATTAATCTATACATATATTTCCATATTTTTTTCTAATGGCAAGAGAGAGGAGGATACACAGATGCAAAATATAGATTTTCAAAGCCTTTTAAATTTGGTGGTGAACCAAGTGAAGGAGTTACACTATTCACACTTGTGTGCTTAATGACCCATTGATAAGTTGAAGTTAAACCAACAGCGGCAAGGTAATCTACATGGTTTCGAAGCCATTGACGAGGAAGGTGTTCATGAAGGGGAGTTAGAAATTACACTCTTCAAGGAGAAGTATCAGCTCTCTGACGTAACCTCCATGAACCAAGGAAGTACGAGTTTGAATATGAAGATGAAAGAAGAAGAGTTCAATCATGAACTCCCACGACGTAGACCGCATAACCCTCAAAGAAGGTATGATGATGAGGTTACACCATTCATTAAGTTCCAAGTTCCACCCTTCAATGAAAAATATAATCGCGAGGCGTTTCTAGAATGGGAGCGTAAAATGAAGTTCATTTTTTACGTGCAACAACTTTCAGAGCAATAAAAATTACGTTTTGTTGTCATTGAGTTCTTTGACTATGTTGTATCATGGTGGGACCAGACCAACCTTTCACAATATAGACACAGAGAACTTCCCGTGCGAATTTGGAATGAGTTGCGAGGACTCATGCAAAGGAAATTTGTGTCGCCGCAAACTCCGTCAACAACAAGTAAGGGGAAAGAATCCGTTATTCCTGCATCGTCACACTCAAAGGGTACGACATCTTCTCCAAATAATGAATCCACTACTTGCACTCGTTAATTATTTTATTTGAAGTGTCAAGGACGTGGACATTTTTTCAATCAATGTCCTAACAAGAGATCCATGATTATCACTTCCACCGAAGATTATGTATCTGAATCCGATGGAGACATGGAAGAGACTGGAAAGATCGATCCAGAGGAGAATGTTACCTAATATAAAATGTTACCCTTTTTCTTCTATTAAAATTATGTCACTTTGTGTACATTGATTAAGAAATAATAATATTTTAATTTAAAAATAAAAAAAATAAAAAAAATAGGGTACTATGATAAATTTATTAAGAAGATATAAAAATAATAAGGCAAGTAGGAAAAATAGTAGTAAAATAATTATTATTTGTTACAATAAAAGTTGTTTAAATTATGAGCTGTAAGGTTTTTTTATTATATATAAAAAAAAATAGACTATACATAATTTAGCGAAAAAAGAACTGTCATAATTTTGATGGAGTAATAAAATACTAATGTGCCAATGATACATAGATAATTGAATGTGGTTATATATATATATAAATGTATTATATTTATATATATATATATAAAATACATTTTCTTTTCTGGATCTTAATTTACGCACTTTTATTTTTAAAAATAACAAAATATTTTAATATAAAAGTAAAAGAGGAATATTATGAAAATTTTATTAATGAGTTAATAAAAAAAAAAAGTAGATTAAGTAGGAAAAATAATAGTAACATTAGTTATTTTTTGAATTATGAGTAATAATATTGTGAATGAATAATATATTTTTTTATAAATAGATTATGTATAAATTTATGGTAAAAAAAACAAAAAGTGACATAATTTCATAAATGAGTAAATATTTTAATTTGAAATTTTATTTTAAAAAATAAGTATTTAATCTAATATTTTAAAACAAAAATAGTAAAGTATATATTACAAGAACTATGAACAGATGCCCTAACACTACAAAAAAAAATAATATATTTGTAACGGAATTTCGTCCCTAAAGTTCACGTAGCTAACGTAATTCTATTACTAATTCCGTCTCTAATGTCATAA